AAAAATCAAACCTCTTCAGGGCTGGGGATTTAGCTCAGTGGTTTCACTGCCTGCTGCACAAGCGCAAGGACCCAAGTTCGATCCCCGGTACCAAGGAAAAAAAAAAAAAACCTCTGCAAGCACTGTGGGAGACTGAGGCAGGAAGATTGTAAATTCAAGCCCAGCCTGAGCAATTTAGCAGACCCTGGCTCAAAATAAAAAATTTAAAAAGGGTAGGGTTGTAGCTCAGTGTGAAGGCACTGGGTCAATCCCTAACACTGAAAAAAAAAAAATGACAATCTTCCTGCCTCAGCTTCCTAGCTGTGATTACAGGCATGTACCAGTCTGCCCTGTTCATGAATATAATTGGAATTCCTATGTTTAGAGAAGTACCAGGAACTGAGGACAAAGCAGATCTATCCACCCTCAAAGTGACCTACAGTAAACTGACTGAAGAAACTAGATCCTGAAGATCCCAGATGGTGGATTTTGAAGCTGTTCTCAGTATGTCCATAATTCAAGAGGAGATAAAAAAAAAGTTGTAGACTGATAGGACAACCAGATTAAACATCAAAAAAGGGCTACCTTGAAGATAAGTCTTGAATTTTGGCTTTAGAGGAACTAAGGTGACCTTGATGGGTAGAGAAGGAATCTCAGCAAGTGAAATTCCTTCAACACAAATTTACTGACTTAGCCAGAGACCAAGCACAAGCCAGCCTGGAATCTTAGTATTCTGTGAGGCTGAGGCAGGAGAACTGCAAATTCAATCCCAGCCTGGACAATTCAGCAAGACCCTATCTCAAAACAAAAAATAAAAAAGGTCATGGGATATAGCTCAATGTCAAGGCTCTGAGTTCAACTCCCAGTATGGGGGAAAGCCTATTGACTGAAAAGAAAAAGAAAAGACCTTAACAGTAACATAACAAGTAAATCATATAGGGCTGGGGATGTAGTTCAGTGGCACCATGCCTGCCTTACAGGCACAAGGTCCTGAGTTCGATCCTCAGTACCAAAAAGAAAAAGAAAAGAAAGGAACAAGTAAATCATACAGAATATAAGGTGAAAAGTGTCAGAGAGAAAATTAATAGAGCAGGGTCAGGTTAGCAGTACTGTGAAACTTAGCGCAAAGAATCTAATACTCCCATGCCTTATATGAGTAATAAATTGTGTGTGTTCTTTTCCCTGCTAATAAAAACAAAAGATAGGTGTGGTGGCACAGGCCTGTAATCCCAGCACTAGGAAGGCTGAGGCAAGAGGACTGGTGCAAATTCAAGGTGGTCCTGGGATACATAGCGAGATCCTCTTTAAAAAACAAAAAGGGCCGGGGATTTAGCTCAGTGGTTTCGCCGCCTGCGCCTGCTACGCAAGCACAAAGACCTGAATTCGATCCCCATTACCAAAAAAAA